TATAATCGGCAAAAATTACGCCAATTAGTATAACGAAAATCACGTGGTCCAATACTTTTGACCGGGGAGTGTACATAAGTCGAAATTTTGAAGCCTAATTCAGCCCAGATTTAAATGAATTATTAAATCCAGTCTGACTTAAATTCATGTATTAAATAAAATATACTGATATATTTATTTATTTTAGAAATTTTTATTGCATGTTTATCAATAATTTAATAATTTACCACTTCACTATTTTTTTGACAAAAAAAAAAAATAAATAAAATATTTCAATAATGCAAGTGGCAAACTAAAAATGGTCGACAACCATGTCATTTTTTGCATATTTCATTATAAAATACAATTATAATTTTTTACTAAATTATAAAAAATCTAAGCTTACTTTGAACTGAACCTATAAATAAGCCAAAAAATTTAAATCAAATAAATTAAAATTTAATAAAAGAATATACAAAATATAATAAATAAGTTAAATGAGCCACAAAATTTAAATATCATAAAATTTAATATAAATTTTAGATATGAACATTTATTTATTGATAGATATTAGAGAAATTTAATATAAGTAGCGCAGTAAGACTTTTTAGAATTAGTCATAAAATATTTTTAAAACATAATATTTATTAAAATAAAAAAAAAAAGTATAAATAAATAGGTTAAAGTTTGGTATTATAATTTATTTAATAAAAATATACAATTTTAAATAAGTTGACAGTTAACGAAATTGTAAATAAGTTGTCTCAATTCAGACACCCGAAGATCGTCTAGGAAATATATATATATTTTTTTTTGAGATGATTTTGACAACAAAATCTAATTATCTTCCAGTGCATACTATGATGAAACAAACTTATTTAATTTATTTAATGGTTCTTGAAAAAAAAATTTTTTTTATTAGAATGTTCACGTTATGCTCGGTTGTGGAAATATTGATATAAGCAAATCTATAAAAAAAGAAAAAAAAAAAAGAAATCAAGAAATCGCATGATAATTGTCAGATCGGGCATTTAAACCTTTCTAAATTTGTTTAAGTACGATCACCCGCCCAATTATTTAGTTTGTTATAAAAGGAGCAGGAATTTTTTAATTCAATACAAATTTCTAAACGTGTAATTTTCGATGGCACAGCAAAAACTTCATTTCGAAACTCTTCAACTTCATGCAGGACAAGAACCAGACCCCACAACAAATGCAAGAGCTGTACCAATTTATGCTACAACTTCATTCACTTTTAAAAATGTTGAAAATGCAAATGCCATATTTAGTATGAAGGAAACTGGACATGTTTATAGCAGGTATAATATTTCAAATGACGATAAATCTTTTTTTTCTGTATTCCTTTGGATTTTAGCTAAACTTTTCTAAAAAAATTATTTATTTGTTAGAATCGATAATCCTACATTAAACGTATTTGAAAAAAGAATGGCAGCACTTGAAGGAGGTGTCGCAGCTCTTGCAACATCTTCAGGACAAGCGGCGCAATTTATGGCAATCATGAATATTTGTGTTGCTGGTGATAATATTGTTTCTTCAAGTTATCTTTATGGTGGATCTTACAACCAATTTAAGGTAAATTACTTATTTATTTGCAAAAGAAAAATATGTTAATTATATATGTATTTAAATAGGTTACACTTCCGCGTTTGGGAATTAATGTGAAATTTGTTAACGGTGATAATCCCGAAGATTTTGCAGAATTGATTGACGAAAATACTAAAGCTATTTATTTTGAATCTGTGGGAAATCCAAAATTTAACATCCCAGATTTTGAAGCAATCAGTGATATTGCACATAAAGCAGGAATACCAGTAATTGTGGATAATACATTTGGAGCGGGAGGATATTTAATTCAACCATTTAAGCACGGAGCAGATATTATAACTCATAGTGCAACAAAATGGATTGGCGGACATGGTACAACAATTGGTGGAGTGATTATAGATGGTGGTAAATTTCCATGGAATAATGGAAAATTTCCGATGTTTACAGATCCTTCAGCTGGCTATCATGGCATCAAATTTTGGGATGAGTTTGATAATAAATCATTTATCATTAAAGCACGTTTAGAAATAATGCGAGATGTTGGTGCATGTCAAAATCCTTTCGGGGCATTTCTTTTATTACAGGGTATTGAGACTTTATCATTACGTGTACAAAGACAAGCGGACAATGCTTTAGCATTATCCAAATGGTTAGAAAAACGGGAAGAAGTTTCTTGGGTTTCTTATCCTGGACTTGAATCTCATCCTTACCATGAAAATGCCAAAAAATATATGAGAAATGGATTTGGTTGTGTATTGGCCTTTGGAGTGAAAGGTGGTATCGAAGCTGGTAACAAATTTATCGATTCTCTTACTCTTACAAGGTGCATGTATCATCACAATATACAAATATACTATATGGGATGATTCTAGGAAAATCAGGTTCCGAGAAATTTGAGAGCTTAATTCATTTTAATCTAATAACATCAAAACTAAAAATGCAATAAAAATCTCGATTTTGTTAAAAAATTCCCGGAACCTGATTTTCTCGCAATCAACCCAATATATTCTATCCGATTATATGTTAACCTTTACAATATATTTTAGTTATTTGGCGAATGTAGGAGATGCAAAGACTTTAGTTATAAATCCGGCAGAAACTACCCACCAACAATTAACTGATGAAGAACAAATTATTACTGGTGTTACAAAAGATCTTGTTCGTATCTCGGTAGGTTACGAACACATTGATGATATAAAACATGATTTCGGTAAGTTATTAATAATTGTTATTATTAATTCATTATTTTCATCTATTTTTAAATTCATACTTTATTTGTATTCATTAGCACAAGCTTTCGAAAAAGTCAGAGAAACCGGGTATGAATGAGGCTCATTTGCGTTATTTCCTAATTAGTTTAGTAAATAACTTGTGCGTATGATTGATCCAAATCGAAAATTTGGTGCAACTACCAAATTATTTGTATTACGTGGTTTTTCTCCAATTAAGTAATCTTTTGACGGAATCGTTTACTATTTTGAAAATTTTATTATTTAGTTGTTTGTAGTAGTCCCTTAAATCGAATAAGTCACGACTCACTAAAAATTAGCAATCATAATTTATTATTAATAATTTTTTGCGATAATTAATGAATCAAATTGCATTATGGTTAGGTCAAATCCGTGCTTATTAGAGTATTTATCAACATTGGTTCAGTCGTTTGAAAATATCAGAGCTGTTTCTGCTTGAATTTTTTTACAGAATGATTCAACCGATTAACGTTGGCATCACTAGTTTTTTCTTTATTATATTAATCGACATAGTAAATAATATGCAGTAATGTGGTACTCATTTGGGTACATAATTAAATTAGGTAATGCTTCTAGCACCGCCACAATACACGTTAATCAGAAAGACAATTAGTCAGAAAGAAACTTACTAATAATAAATTTTATCTTCGTTACAAAAGATCAAGCCATTAATGCGAAGTCATCTGAATGATTTTTGATTGAGAAAATGGGAGATTAAATTCATAAAATAATAATGACTTTGATAACGTGTTAACAAGGATGCAATTATTATTTTTTTTTTGAAAGGAAAAAAAAAGTTTATAAAAAGAGCAGAAATTTACTTCGTATTTCCTTTGTCAAGAATTTAAATCTTTTTGCAAATAATAAAGAAACAACAAATTAATTTATCTAATTATTTGAAAGATAACTTGTTTGCTAGAAAAAACACGTAAATTAAATTGAATTTATCAACATACAATGACGTTAGGAATCGATCAACCATTTCAATTCGAAACTTTACAACTTCACGCGGGTCAAAAACCAGATTCTGCAACAAATGCAAGAGCTGTACCAATTTATGCTACAACTTCATTCACTTTTAGAAATGTTGAAAATGCAAATGCATTATTTAGTATGAAGGAAACTGGACATATCTATAGCAGGTATAATATTTCAAGTGGCGATAAAATTTTTTTTCCTGCATTTCATTAAATTTTAGATAACTTTTTCTAAAAAATTTATTTATTTGTTAGAATCGATAATCCTACACAAAACGTATTTGAAGAAAGAATGGCAGCACTTGAAGGAGGTGTCGCAGCTCTTGCAACATCTTCAGGACAAGCGGCGCAATTTATGGCAATCATGAATATTTGCGTTACTGGTGATAATATTGTTTCTTCAAGTTATCTTTATGGTGGATCTTACAACCTATTTAAGGTAAAGTTACTTAATTATTATTTGTAAAAGAAAAATATATATATATGTTAATTATATATGTATTTAAATAGGTTACACTTCCACGATTGGGAATTGATGTGAAATTTGTTAACGGTGATAATCCCGAAGATTTTGCAGAATTGATTGACGAAAATACCAAAGCTATTTATTTTGAATCTGTGGGAAATCCAAAATTTAATATCCCAGATTTTGAAGAAATTAGTGATATTGCACATAAAGCAGGAATTCCAGTAATTGTGGATAATACATTTGGAGCGGGAGGATATTTAATTCAACCATTTAAGTACGGAGCAGATATCGTAGTTCATAGTGCAACAAAATGGATTGGCGGCCATGGTACAACAATCGGTGGTGTTATTATAGATGGTGGTAAATTTCCATGGAATAATGGAAAATTTCCGATGTTTACAAGCCCTTCACCGGGTTATCATGGTACGATATTTTGGGAAATGTTTGGTAATATGTCCTTTATAATTAAAGCCCGTTTAGAAATATTGCGAGATGTTGGTGCATGTCAAAATCCTTTCGGGGCATTTCTTTTATTACAAGGCATTGAGACTTTATCATTACGTGTACAAAGACAAGCGGATAATGCTTTAGAATTAGCCAAATGGTTAGAAGGACGTGATGAGGTGTCCTGGGTTTCTTATCCTGGTCTTGAATCCCATCCTTATCATGAAAATGCCAAAAAATATATGAGAAATGGATTTGGTTGTGTATTAGCTTTTGGTATAAAAGATGGTATTGAAGCTGGTAACAAATTGATTGATTCTCTTAACCTTGCTAGGTACGATTATCATCATAATAAAGCGTTGTATTATCATTTCAATAGTAACTTAATTTTTCTTTTTCTTTTTTTTTTTTTTTTTTTTTTAGTTATTTAGCCAATGTAGGAGACGCAAAGACTTTGATCATAAATCCGGCAGCAACTACTCACCAACAATTAAGTGATGAAGAACTTATAAGCGCTGGAGTCACAAAGGACCTAATTCGTGTTTCTGTAGGTTATGAACATATTGATGATATAAAGAATGATTTCGGTGAGTTACTTAATGCATTTTTTCATTTTTTTTTAAGTTAATAATAACTAACTTGTATTATTTAGCACAAGCCTTTGAAAAGTTAAATAAGCCAAATTCAAACGATTCAGACGATATTATTTAAACAAACGAAATCATTATATGATTAATAGATCACGAGCTTTTTTTTTATTTATTTTATTTATTTATTTGTATTCTTTTTATATTTTAGTAATAAATAATAAATTATAAATTATCAGCAAATATAGAATTCAATTATTACGTAATGATTCCATTAATTTATTAATAGTAATTCCTTTCATATGTAAACAACTCAACCAATAACCTAATTAACCGGTCCAATAAAAAATAAATAACAAACCCTATTTCGGGTCGGGTCCCCTTATTTTTTTTTTTATTTAAAAAAATATATTTCACTTTATTATCAAGTGATTGCATATACGATATTATAAAATATTTTAAAGATGATAAACAGTCCTTACTTAAATTACTTGTCGTGTATAGAACGTGGTGTAGAATGGTTATCCCAATATTATGGAAATATCCATCTTAACCAACAAGAAAAATCCCTGTTGATCTCACAGGGCATCTTAACGACGGAAGAGGAGACTACACCGTTATTTCCATATGCGAAATATTTAAAAGCTTATCACAATTTGATTTATGGATATCGATTCGATGGTGGTTAGAACGCCAAGAAACTGATAAACTTTAATAATCCCAAAACTTCTTACAAAATTTTTTTTAAAATGGAAAATATTTAACAAGATCATTGCAAATAGAAAATTATTTGAACAATTATAGAGCATATTATGAGATGTAGTTTTAATTTAACTTCATTAGAATTTATTTCAGCACATGAAAATTTAGTAACTCCTAATTTATTAATAACAACAATCTATAATAAACCAGGATTAACATACTTGAACATTTAGTGATTAAAGACAATTCCATTAATTTGCAAACATTTAAATAATTTAAGTATTTCGATTAACGAATTAATCGAAAAAGGCATAATAGTTGATATCATTAATCTCAATCAAATCCTAAAGCACCTAAATTATGGGCAAGTAATCAAATTTTAGATGGATCGTAAATGATTGTTTATTTAAACCTAACTTATCATATACATTAAAATAATTTTAATGAGATGTCTTCATTAAAAGGATTGGTTACTTGTGGCAATCTAAAAAATTTAATGTTTAAACATTGTAAAGGTATTGAATTACAACATTTTAATGATTTATCAACATTCAAATTTCATTAATTTTATTAGATAATTGGTCAAGTGAAGTTACAGCAATGTTTATAAAAACATTCTATAGTGATGTGATGAATTAACATTTCTGTCATTTGACACCTTTTCTAGTGATATTATTAACGCATTAATCATCACAAATTGTATTAATTTCACGCACCTTAAAATATCCAAATGTTTTAATCGAGAAAGTTTATTATTCAATTGAATAAGTAAGTTAATATTTTAAGGAACTTGGAATTTACATTTATGATAGATACGGTGTAACTCATGATGAGATTCTCATAACGTTGGAAAAAAATTATTATTTTGCAATGAGTTGAGTTGTTATTATTAAATTTTGATTTTACTTTAAGATGGTCTTTAAAGAATTTTTTAACTTATGCCTAGTAAAATTTAAAATTTTACAATTAGATGGTAAATTTAATATCGATAAAGATTATTTAGAGAGCATTAGAAATTATGTTTATAAAAAAAATTGATGATTAAAATTATTATATTTGAGTAGCCTTTATGTTAGTTGGGGTCAAATTGAATGAGTAATGTGAAAGAAATTGAGCTAAAGTAACAAACTCTAAACAGATTTAATTGCCCTTACATTTTTAACCGGTTTATTAAATTTATTTCCATAAATTATTTAACGTTAACTATTCGAGAACTTTAATTTTTCCTTTTTTAGACTGTAACTATAATTATGGTCACGTGTACATTTTGCGTAATAAAATTTTATTTGAATTACATCTATCTTAATTGAATAATCTCCTGGATGAAAAATTTCTAAAGTCATTAGATTGTGCGGCCAATGCTGATGTTAATCACCGTAATATAACCAGTTAAAGATTGAGTGATTGAGGCTATTGGAAATCTTAAAGATCGCTCAAGACTATTTTTCATTTACAAAAATTAAAATCTCTATCGAAACGCGTCTTCAATACTTTCTTCTCTAAGCACTTAAATATCTTTGAAAAAATAAAACCGAATTTGCCTCTTGACGAACATTAAATTTCAATCTAGGTAAAAGTTTTGATTATTGAAGATATCAATTCTTCGATAACTTAAATATTCCTTATCTCAAGAATCTTGTCATTTGTTAGTATATGAGTTATTGACAAGTATAAATTCTCGATATAGAAAAATTCACATGGCTTGATATTTGTAAATCGTAATAGCGCGAATTTATTCTTGCATTTTTTCTTTTATCTGGATTTTTTTTTTTTTTTGGCTTACGATTTAAGAATGACTTTGATCATCACAACTATATGTATTTTTTTTCATAACTTTATTTTTTTTTTAGATTATCGAAACGTGATATTTTATATTAAAGCTATATAAACTTTTGCTATGACGTAATAAAAGTATATGAATAATTTTAGGAAAGCAAAAGGAATTTAAAGATGAACTGGTTATTTTAAAAAACCTGAACGATTTATTGATATGGGTTAATTGAAACTTGTTCGTATTCTTGATTCTGCATCACATAAATGGGCTTAGCGGCTTGGATTTGTTATACCCGATGTGAATGATCACGTTGAACAATGAATTGGATATGGATCGACATTTTTGTGTATAATTTGTCGATCAGGCTGAAAAAAGCTCCGAGCTAGGGACTTGAGGCATTTATGTGATTGGTGTTTGCCGTTTCCATAAAAATTAAATGCCGATCATTTCGTATGAGTTATTTTTGCCAAGGATAAAAAAAAATTTGGTTATTCTATTCATTTAACTATTTTAGTTGTCATTTTTGCCAATTCAATGTTAAGAGAGATAAATAAAGAGATTGGTTATCGTTTCATTTAATTATTTTAGACCATGAGTTATTTTTGCTAATATTGTGCTTATCGATTTATTTAACTATTTTAGTCGATTCATAATCAATGAGTTATTTTTGCCAATAAATCAAATCATTTTTAATCAACAAAGAATAAAGAAAAATAAAACAATATAAATACATCTCTTTTTCACCCAGCTTTTCACCACGATTGAAAAATTGAAAACAACAAAAAATAAAACCATTCACAAAAAAAAAAAAACCAATCTAACAAAATGTGCAAAAGCTGTTCTTGTGGAAATTCTTGTGCATGTGGATTGACTTGCGCTTGTGAGCAAGTCGTTCAACGTACCAATACTGATCCTTCTTGCGGATCTAGGTAATGATTACTTCTTGGTTATTTGCTTTTTATCTTGCATGAAAATATTAACTCTCCAAATGTATTGAATCATTAATTATATAGCACATGCGGATGCGGAGAAAGCTGTACTTGCGCCGCTGGTAAATGTTCTTGCGAAACCAAAAAATAAATTATGAACAAATTTCTTGGTAAGTTACACATCTTCTAATTAACCAAACTTAGAATTATCTCTAAAATTTATCAAATCTCTTTGAACTTATTTTATAGCTACAACCATTTAAATTTCTATCGTGTTCCATTTTTATATGAAATTGTTATTGTTTATTACCATGAATATGTATATGTTATAAATATATTTTATTGAAATTAAAATAAAATTTTGCTAAATAAATTTTATAAAAATAAGGTTTCGTTTATTTCAAAGATTGATGATATTACTTAAACTATATATTTTACTGGTGCACGTGAAAATTTTGTTAATAAAATTAAACCTTTGCTCTTAGTTTAAATTTCTCATTTTCAAAACTAAGAACTGTACTAATAAAATTACTACTAAAATCGAGAATTGTATCTCGGTTTCAATTACAGCTTCTAATTCTTTGATTCTTTTAGCTTTACGTTTTGTAAATTCATGCGGTTCGTGGAGTCGGGTACAGATCGTTGTTTAGAGAAATAATCACACATCTTCTGTGTAAGTACATTTAAACCCGTCAAAGTATGATCTTAAAGCCAATTGTTGAACTAGCATAAATTAAAATATTATAATTTAAATATATTTACCGCTCATAAATGAAAAAAAAAAAAACATAAAATAATGAAGATATTGTAATTTGGAATTTGGTATTTTTATTCTGATTTAACTGTTATAAGGAAAATAAAAAAAAACATAATGAAGGCCAAATCTTAAGTGCTTGCCAACATTATGCTCAAATAAATGACGGGTCATTGTCATTTGAGTAATGAAACGACGGTTTTTGTGTCACATGATATTCCACTCTGTTGGAAACGCATTTATGCAGCGATAACCTATTAAACTGCACATTATCTAATAATGTCCTCGGTTAATACCATTTTGGTTATTTAATCGCTAGCTCGGTGATAGTTTCCCGAAAAAATATCTAATAATCTTTGCCATGTGGTCATGTGGTTATCCTTGTCAAGTAAGAGTTAATTAATGATCAGGGATGAGGTTTGTTGGAACAAATGTTTTGTTTTAATGTGGCGGTCGGATTAATTTGCCGACCCTATCCCTAATAGTAGGGATCCTAATCGGTCCTAAAGTCCCAAGAAAATTACAAAGAATTATTTTTACAAATTTATTATTAAACTTGTCTATTATAATGTTTTAATGTGCTACTTAATAATAAATAATAAACCCTCTTGGAATCCCGGAATTTCTTAAAATTTAAAATTTTAGGATTTAGGACCGGGTCCTATACTTAGCGGTTTGCCAATTTGTAAAATTATAAAATATTTATGCCATTTTTTTTGATGGGGTTACTTATTATAGATAAGTGATTCTCTAGAGTTAGTAATCTCTTAAATCGTAAGGAACGGGTACGTGATTTGTGTTTAGTCATTATACGATACCGTGAATTAACGTAAATACTGTATATGCAAATAATTTAAAAGATTTTATTATCTTGCATAATATAACTTTTATTAACGAAAATAACATCGCAAATAAGAAATTTTTTTAAAAGAGTAAATTTGTCTTTATGTTAATGGCATATTTCTCATTTTTGCTATTGCTCAACTCTTTGATGATTTATTAACAACGTTGAATATTATTTTTACATCTTCATATCATAAAATTATCAGCCAAATTTACTCTTAGAGCAAAAGTAGTTTTATCTATTAAATCATCAAGCAATGTATTAATTAATTTCCTATTCCAAATTTGATCCTAACTTTCCAATGTCTACTTACTTCTGTACTTGAGATTTTCTTTTAGAAGTTCTTTATATAAACTTATTTTTTTATTATTTGATTTTATATCAGTTAAATAATCAATTATGAATTAATAGGTTAGCTGTCATCTATATTCACATGTCTTTTTTTATTTTTAGGCAAATCTTTAATAAATATGGTATGTTTTAAGCTTCCTTGAAAACCCTAGATTCATTGGATGAAATTTTGAAGTTTTATAACTATTACATAAAGTGTTAGCTTTCATTTCTACAAAAATAAAACAATTTTGCAATATTTACAAAACTAAATAAGAGAAGTAAGCACTGTCTATTTCTGAAATTTTGTTTAAAACTCTTTTTTATTGTTAATAAGATTTTTTGCAGAAGTCCTATTAATCAAATTATATAAAAAATAATAAATTCACTTTTTTACTAACTAATATTAGAAAATACAATTTTCTAAATTAAAATTATATATTATTAAATTATAAATTATCACATACTAAATAAGAATTAATAATAAATTTAATAAAAAATATTTAAACAAATATTTTATTTATTTCATTTATAATACTATAATTTCTAAAATTGATTTTATAAATCATAATATTATTTATAATTTTTAAATTTATTTTCTAATAAAAGTAATAATAGTATAATATTACTTCTTTTCTAATTATAATATTTATTATTATTATTTATTAAATCATATTAAGTAATAAAATATATAAAAAAAATTAAATTTTATAATTAAACTTTATATGTATCTATTAACTATTAAGTTTATTAAAATAAATTAAAATTATTTTAAATTCTTATAAAAAATCTATTTTTAATTTTAATGAATCTTCTCAAAATATCAAAATTTTTTTTAAAAAAAAGTCAAGTTTTATAATAAATTTATAATGAAATTAATAAATCTTGATTAAATTCAAAATCTGAAATTAAAGTCAACTCTTTTTATAATAAACTAACAGTTCTATTAAAAAAAAGTTTATTATATATATTATTATACTTTTATATAAACTATTACACTTTTTATAACATACTATTATTAAAATTTAAAAATTATGAGTTTGTTATATCTAGCGTTTATTATAAAAAAGTTCATTATAACTAACTTTGATTATAATTAAATAAGTTTAAAGTAATAATAAATAAATTTGATAAGTATCAAATTTTAATTATAAAAAAAAAAATTAATAAAATACAAAATATTTTTTATCTAATTTTTCAATTTTTAAAAAATTAAAATTATTTAAATTTTATAATTTAATTTAATATTTTAATATTTAATTTTATAATTAATTTTTAAAAATAAATTAAATATTTAATCGTGAGAAATGAATGTTCTAAATGTAAAAAGCCTTAACTTAATTAAATTCAAATTAAGTTTTTAAATATTTACTTTAATTAATAAATTAATAAATTATTTTTATATATTTTATTAATATTATTTTTATATAAGTTATTTTTATATTTTTTATTAAAATGTTATTAAAAAAAAACACTTTTAAATTTTTAAATATATTTTTTATAAAAGTTATTTCTAAATTTTAAAAATATATTTAATTAGTAATAAAATTACTTTTAAGTTTTAAAATATAATGATTTAAAAATTTCTATTATACTATTTTTGATTAATTATATATTTAATAATTAATAATAAATCTATTTAATTTGATATTAATTAAATATATAATATATTATTCCTTAATTTATAAGTATAAATTTATTTTTAAAATATTTTAGGACACTTAAAATATTTTTAATATCTAATGATTATAAAAATATGAAATAAATTTTTAGATTTATCATATTATAATATATCTAATAGTAATATTTTAAATTTTTAAAATTAATAATTATTAATAAATATCAATTTTTAATTTTTTAATTTTTAAAAATAATTTATTATCTAATAATTACAAATATAAATTTAATTTATTAGATTTATCATATTAATATCTATTAAATGATAGTATTTTTATATTTCTGAAATTAATAGATAGCAAGATATATGTGTTTAAAATTGTAATTTTTTTTATAATAGTTTATTATTTATTTATTATTAAAAATTGGTTAATTATATTATTTTTTAAATTTTACTTAAAAATATTATAAATTTATTATTAATTTTTATAATAATATTTTAAAATATTTAAAATGATTATAATTAATAAATAAATTTGCTTACGAATTTGTAGATAAAATAATTGAAAAGATAAGATTTTCATATATATTAATATTAATAAATTAAAATTTTTTATATTTTATAATTTTTTATTAAATATTAATAAATATAATTAATTTAATTAATTTTTTTTAAAAAAATTAACATAATGCTAATTAAAAATATTAGTTAAATAGTTAATATTAATTAATATTAATGATGTTAGACAAACTGAAATTATTTAATTTTTAATAATTAAAAAGCTGAAATTAAAGATGGTCACCGCAATTGAAAAAAATGGCGCAATTGAGTTGCAACTTGTGGCACAATTAAATTTCCTTATGGCGCAATTAAGTTGCAACTCAATTGAAATTTGAAAATAATTATGAAGACCATCTTTAGCTGAAATGTTAAAACTTTATTTCTATAGATTTTCCATAAATTTCCATGGATTTTTTATGGATTTTAACTTAAAATTTTTTATTTAAATTAATTTATATTTTATTTGAAATAAAATTTTAAATTTTAATCACTTCAGATAATTTTATTTTGATTAGAAAATTTTCGATTTTTTTTACCTTAGATGAATCAAATAATTTTTATTTTTATTTCATCTTAATTATATTACATACTAAAAAATCCAAAATAAAATTTTTCATATTACAAATATTAATAAAGGTGTAATAATTAATATAGTGTTATTTATCTTAGCGAAATTTTTTACCATAATAGAACTAGATTGAAATACTTACTTAAATTTTTTAAAGATATTAAAAATATCTTTACGCTTTTTTTTACTAAAAATTTTGAAAGCTTTATAGATATTAAATATAATATAAATACTAAAAATATTGTAAGTATTATAAATAAGTTAGAAGAAATTATATTGTCTTTTAATACAAACTCTTTTATTAAATTAAAGGTAGAATATATAGAATTTTTTACTAATAATATAAACAATTCTAATTACTCTTCTTATTAATATAATCTATATATTAGAGATAATTTCAATGATTAAAAGTCTCTAAATAATATTTATGTATAAATTTATCAATAAAAAGGATTTATTTATCAAGTTTTTCATAA